CCCTTATTTGAAAATAAAATTCCACTTTACCCATGATACATAGGCTTAGTTATTTATTGGTCGAGAATACATTACGTTTTTTTTTTTTTTTTTTTTTTTTTTTTTTATGTTTATCCTTGACAATTCATTGAACTAGGATGTAAATATTTTATTATTTTTTCATTTTTTTCATTTTTTAAATTTTTAATTAATATAATTATAATTTTAATATTTTATTAATCAAATAATATTTTTTAGCTTTTAAGATTATAATTATTTTTTAAAATTATATTGTAAGATGTTAAAAATCTATCTCATTCTTTTATTGTTATAATGATATTATAATTATTTTAAAATTTAATGTGGTCTCATTCTTTTTATCTATCCCATTCTTTTAATCGCATTCTATTAATAATTATAATGAGATTAATACTTTATCTCATTTTTTTTATCTGTCTCATTCTTTTTATTTTTGAAGTCTCTAATGATTTTTTTAAAATTTTATAATTATTTTTAAGATTTTATAAATATTAATAAAATAAATAATATTAACTTGTATTTAAGGGACACATGTTAACCTATAAATAAAAAAACTTGTATTGAAAAAAGCTGTAAAAAGTTAATTATCAATTTTTGATAAAATCAATACACAATTTTTAAAAATTATTTTTACATTTAAGTCTTAACTTATACCCATGCATTACTCTAATAAAATATAACTTTATATTATAAAAATCTATCTCTTTTTTTTTTTTTTTTTGGTTTAATAGTTTTATGTGTAAAATTTGACCCCTTAAAATGAAAAGCAAGTGGTATACTTTCAAACTTACTTTCCTACAAATTAATGTCTCTTCAATTAATCTATGAACTTGATTAAAAATAAATATTTATATCATTCTATTAGACTCAATTTTCGTTATAAAATTAAATTTATAATATAACATTAAACCAAAAACTATATCACTCGATTATAAAAATAAAAATCTATATCAGTCTATTAGACTCTTTTCAATTACTCATAAAACTATTAAACCAAAAAAAAAAAGAGTGAGATAGATTTTTATAATATAAAATTAAGTTTTATTAATATTTATAAAATCTTAAAAAATAATTATAAAATCTTATAAAATAATTATAATTTTCAAAAATAATAAGAATGAGATAGATTAAAGAATGAGATAAAATATTAATATCATTATAATTGTTAGAAAAATGAGATTAAAAAAGAATGAGATAGATTAAAAGAATGAGATAACATTATATTTTAAATAATTATAATCTCACTATAACATTAAAAGAATGAGATAGATTTTAAAGAATGAGACATAAATTTTACAAATATAATTTAAAAAACAATAATTCTAATCTTAAAAACTAAAAAAATATATTTTATTAATAAAATATTAAAATTAAAATTATATTAATTCAAAATTAATTAAAAATATTATAATAACAAAAAAAAAATTTAGACAATAATCTAACAAATGGTCGAGAATATATCTAAAGAAAACATAGTGTAGTCAATAAATGCCTGAATTTATTTGTTCTTATCATGAAATATGGTAAACCTTTTATTTAATTGAGTTGGACATTGATCACACTTGAAAGGACGTAGTTTTGGAATTTTGCAATCATGGCCAATTACCTTTATTATAATGGAAATAGAATCTCACAATCAATCAACTTTTTTTAGGTGGGTATATGATATTGCGACCAACAATCAATGTTCAATTGAATTGGTGATTGAAAATGTGAAATTGAGTTATAGTAAAATAAGTTAAATTAATTCGAACTAAAATTAAAATAATAAAATATAATAATTAAATAATTAAGAATATTTAAATTAAATAAGATAAAATATCAAAATAAATATAATATATTTAATTTAACAAAAAGTGAATTTGAGTTAACTATTACAAACAAGTCAACATTGACAACAAATAACAATATTAACATAAACGACAATTAATATTTAGTTGGATAGCGAGACTATATTTGAACAACAATAACATGAAAAAATTTAAAAGTTTGTATGGTTGTAAAGAAAAGTACGGATTTTTTTATAATTGAAAAATGTATGTTAAATTTTGATATTGACATATTAAATTTTAAAAAAAATTATAAAAAAATCAATTTGATGCATTTTCTTGAACCAGACGACTTTACAAAACTGGCTCCGATTCTTTGGTTCGAGTGGTTTTGGACGGTTCTATACAGTTTTTCCGATTTTACTCCAATTTTAACACACTAATGATTTTGAAAGGTTAACCTAATCAGATTCATCTCCAGTTTCTGATCCAACTGATTGAACCGTCCGATTCGGTCTGATTTTTAAAACATTCTCTGCAACTATATTATTATATGGAAAGATTTAATACAAAGATTGATTACACTTAATAAATTTTAAATTCAAAATCTTGAGAGAAGTACATTCGCAAGACCTAAATCTTTATCATTAGGCCAATTCTTGAGAGTTTATTAAATACATCTAAAATTAAATTATTTTTTTGTTGATAAACTGAGAATTTAATTTTTTTATTAATATTAATATTATAAATTCATAGTATAATTATTAATTTAATATAAAATATAAAATAAATTTAAATTAATAAGGAAATGCTATGAGAGTCACCAAATCCAACTATCGTCTATGTACAATCCATATTAGATCTTACAAACTCCCTATCCTACCTCCTCTACGTTTTTAACAACCCATGTTTAGGTCCTCTTTCCAATTACCTAGAAAAAGTGAGTCATCGGTTCAAGTACATGATACTATCATTATCTCTCGGACAATTAGACATCTAACACGTAATCACAACGACCCAATTGCAAGAGCGGAGCTCTACCAACTGAGCTATATCCCCCAAGCCAAGTTAGAGCAAGCATGAGGAATCAAATCTATTTTTTATTTTTTTTTCCCTTAGTGTAGTTGGGTCATCCTAAACTTAAACCAATGACCTCTCCCGTGAAGTAAATCATCACTCCTACAGTCCATCTAATTAGGAAAGAATCAATAAATTCTTTTTTAGGAGCGATTAATCCTTCTTGAACACAACATACAACTATGCATTGTACTGCGCTTTCCAAGTGTACTGTTCCCCTTTCTTCCTTATCATGACAAGCCTTTGTGAATAACTCTGATGAGAATAAAAAAGAAGATGTTAAAGGACACTCTAAGATCCTTTTTCAAACTAGCTCCCGTTTCAAGTCAATAGAATGGTACGATTCCGCTGCCACCCTAGAATAAAAGGGGTGATCTTGTAGTTCTTGGCCTGTGGAGATACGTTGTTAGGTGCTCCGTTTTTCTCTTTCCATTGAGGCCAAACCTAAATATGTGCTCGAGAGATAGATGTCCATATACTGATAAGGGATGTATGAATTCTCGAGAGGAGAGGAGCCATAGTGGTCCTCCCTGGGCCGCCCAGATCCCACGAGTGAATAGAAAGTTGGATCTACATTGAATCTCGCATGAATTGTGCCATATATCATTCTGAGGAGAAGTTTGGTTTCAGGCCCCAATTCAAACAGGAGAAGTATGTCATGCTAATGTGCTTTGGATGGTCCTCATCTTAGGATCAAACATCAATGAACATATTGAACTATCTATGTGGCTGATAGCCCTCAAAGTCAAGACACAACTACACAATTATATGGGGCACACTGTACCACTAACTTAATAGCCCGTTGTGTGGGCCTTTCTAAGGGGCCCACTATGTCTGAAATGAGAGAAACTACATCTCTCTCTTTCCCCTTTTTTCCTGTGGCAACATGGGGAAAAGAGGAGCTCCTATCAAGTTGTTCTGACCTAGGATAATAAGCTTGTGAGATAAGTGTCACTGTCACTCACTCCGCCATTGAAAAACAAAAGAAGACTTTCATCTAATAACTTTGCCTTGATAAACTTCGCTTTAACAGTGTGAAGCCGTCTAAAATCCAATCACCCAAAAAGCATTAGCTCTTCCTAAATAGGATAATAAGCTATCTCATGAGCTAGGTGTGACTTCAACATCAAAAAATGAAAAATATCTAAAACCTACCTATTAGTGAGGTGTAATTTGCTTATTTGCTTTACTTTATTAGGGTGTAATGCAGTGTAAAACCTAATTACACAAAAAAAATCATTAGCTCTCTATGAAAATATTGTATTAGATTAATACAATATTTTATACTAGTACAATATAAATGAGTATTAACTTATTAGTATCTGTTAATTAATTTTGACAGTTGTGTGTTGTTGATTCAAAGTCCTTTTATAGTAATTCTTTTAATGTTATTTTATAATTTATTAATATTTCTAAATTAATAATTTTAAAATCAAATAAATATTAAACTAATATATACAATTTTGTACAAATTATTGACTTTATTTTTCTAATCAATCTAAATTTTTTATTTATATCATTTTAAATACTAACACCATTAACATCATTTTAAATACTAACACCCTTAACATCATTGTAAGCGGAAATAAACATTATTATTTAAAAATATTCATCTTTATGTTTATTTCTTGATGAAATATTCATTATTACTTAATTATTTTATTTGTTGATGACATACCCTATCTTTAAACCATTTAATATTGTAATATATATTTATTTAAAAATAAATTTAAATTTTAAACAATAATATTTAATTATTCCATATTTTCACTATTCATCAATATTAGTAAAATTTTATGTATGTATCCCTTCTATCATTTCACCCACTTTCTTACATCAGGAAGATCGAGGGGTTATTAATGTTATAGAATAACTAGATTTTTAAAAAAACACGAGGATTTTCGAGGAGAAAATTTCATTGGTGTGAAAGGGGTGTAGGGGTCTGAAGGAATAAAGGTTTCTATCGTGAATGTGTATTTGCCATGTGAGATAAGCGGAAAGAGGAGGATGTGGAACGAATTAAAGGACCTATTAGTTTCAGATTTGGAGGCAAGGTGGTGTATCATGGACGACTTCAATGTGATTCGGTTCAAGTCTTAAAGGAAGAGTGTTGGAACTTTTCATAGAAGAGCAGAGATGGAAGTTTTTGACGATTTTATCTCAAAAGTTGATCTCGTAGATCTACCGCTAAAAGGAAGGTGCTTTACCTGGTCTAAATTAGACGGTTCCTCTATGAGTCGAGTTGATAGATTCCTCGTATCAGAAGGATGGATGCACCAATGGCCAAACCGTGTTCAAATCTGTTTGGAGAAAAGTATCTATGATCATTGCCCTATTATCATCTGTGATAAAGAGGTGAATTGGGGCCCGAAACCATTTCATATGATTAAGTGTTGGAGAGATCTTAAAGGGTATCACAATGTCGTGGAAGAAAGCTGGAGACCGTTGGAGATACAAGGGAGGGGCGGAGGATATGTATTGAACGAAAAGTTCAAATTGATCAAAGGAAATTTGAAATAGTGGAGTAAGATGCACACTATAAATCTAGATGTCAAGATTGCTAAAGCAAAAAAAGATAGTTAATGATTTGGACCGTAAAGGAGAAATCTCTCCATTAGCTTCTGCTGAGGTGAATTTAAAGAGAGAGACTGCAGTACAACTTTTCTCGCTTTCAAAGTTGAAGACAAGCATAATGTGGCAAATGTCACGGTTTTAATGGTCAAATGAAGGTGACGCCAACTCAAAGTTCTTCTATAGGTGTGTGACAAATATAAGAAAAATCAGCGAGATTACGTGTATAGAGTCACAATGTATGTCGCAAGGAGTGAAATTGACTGAAGTTAGAGAAACTAGAGAAAATATTCTAGCATACTTTTCAAAGGTGTACATGGATAATAAGATGAACAGAACGAGACTTACAGAGTTTAAATTCAAGAGGATTGACTCGATGGATAATGAAAGTCTTACTGTTGTGTTCTCCAAGGAAGAAATTAGAGGAGCAGTTTGGGATTATGATAACTGAAGAGCCCCGGCTCAAACAGGGTAACTCTAGGATTTATCGAGGAATTCAGGGAGAGTCAAAATTTATTTTTATAGAAGGGAGTCAAATAGGAGATTGTATACTGATAGCTAATGAGATGGTTTACAATGCCAATAGGAGGAAACAAGAGGCTATCTTGTTCAAAGAGGATTTTGAAAAAGCCTACGATTCGGTGGCTGGGAATTTCTCGACTTTATGATGGAAAGGATGGGTTTTAATGATAAGTGGAGAAAATGGATTCATGAATTCCTGAGAAAACGAATAGTAACAATATTGGTTAACGGAAGTCCTACCAAAGAAATCAAGATGGGGAGAGGATTGAGACAACGGGACCCCTTGTTTCCTTTGCTATTTCTCATGGTGGCAGAAGGGATCAATTTAATGATGGAGACAAGTGTTCATAGGATATTGTTTGATGGATATGAGTTTGGAAATAGCGACGTGGAAGTCTCACATATTCAATACGCCAATGGTACTATTATGATAGGCAAAAGAATTTGGAAGAACGTGTGGACAATTAAATCGACCCTCAAAATGTTTGAACTAGTTTTGGGTCTGAGAAATTAAATTCCATAAGAGTTCTCTAATTGGAATTAATACATCTGCAGAATGGTTGGAGGAGGCGGCGACGGTTCTAAACTGTAAGGTGAGAGGAACGCCATTCAAATATCCAGGCCTCCCAGTCGATGGAAACCATCGAAAGGAGGGCTCTTGGGAAAAAATAATTGATATAGTGAGAGGGAGATTAGCATCATGGAACAACAAACACCTTACAATTGAAGGTTGTATCATTTTGTTAAAGTTCGTCCTATATGTGCTTCCGGTTTATTATCTATTGTTTTTTAAGGCTCTTACAAGTATTATCCATAAATTGGAAACTATGTTCAAAATTTTCTTATGGGGTGGGGAATTAAAGCATAAGAAAATACACTGGATCCAGTGGGGGAAGAAATGTCAGGATAAGGAAAAAGGAGGTGTGAGATTAAAAAACTTAAAGGCCTTAAATTTAGCATTGCTAGGAAAGTTAAAGTGGAAGTTTCTAACTGAGAAAAACAGGCTATGGTTAGAGTTCTGGAAATTAAGTATGGGGTGAAAGGTATTGATGGAAGTAAGGTGGACAATTTATGCTCTCTGTGGTGGAGAGATTTACAATCAATCAACAAAGGGGGCGAGAGTCTTAGGAAAAACTGGTTTGTGAATACTTAATTAAATTCATCGACAACGGAAGTGAAACAACTTTTTGGGATGACCCTTTGTTGGATGGGAGAATTCTTAAGGAGACATACCCTGACTTGTATAGGGTGGCTACTAATAAATACACCTCAATAAGAGGGGTGATTAGTAATGACAACATGTGATTTTCTTGGAGTGGAGACTGGGAGGGTTCATTAAATGAGGAAAGTAGTAAGAGTGTGGGGGAAATTAAGGATATGATAGTTAATATCTCTTTGAGGGAGTGTGTTAAAGATGTATGGAAATGGCATAGTAATGCTTACTCGGTTAAAGATTCGTACTCACTGATCTTGGAGGAGGTGATCTCTCAAATAATGGACAATTAGGAGTTGGAGGAAGTGTGGAGTAATATAGTTTTGTTTAAAACTTCGATTTTGGCTTGGAGAATTTGACCAAATAAGATTCCAAGCAGAGATAACTTAGTAATAAGGGGTCTCTTAGTAGAATCTCAAAATTCTTTCTCTTTCATCTGCGGTAAAGAGGAAAATGTCGCACACATTTTCTTCGAATGTTTGTCAGCTTTTGTGGCTTAGAGCGAGGTCCTAAGATGACTTTATGTATCTTATGTTTCTCACAATTCTGCACTGCAGAATTTTGCTCATTTTGCAAGAATCATCAATAGAGGCAAATTATCAAAGAGAGACTCTTAACAATTTGGTATATGTGCATTTGGATCATATGGCAAAGGAGGAACAAAATAATTTTCAGAACATCGGATCAAAGAAAGGATAGCTGCATTGAGGACATTCAGGTTTTGTCTTGGAGGTGGTTAAAGGCAAAGATCGAAGGTTTCAAGTACAATTTAAGCCAATGGATTACACGTCCAAATGAGTGTCTAGGATGGAAATGCAGTTGAGACAAGGTCTGGAGGTTTCTTTATTTTGTTAGGGATGGAGCCGAATCTGTTACTAGTTATAGACTTGGACTCTTTCTGCAACATTGATGCAATTCACTGACAAGAACTTCCAGGACTTCGTTACCAAACTAGGCACGAAACAACACTTCACGTCGGTTGAACACCCGCAGACGAACAGGCAGACGGAAGCAGCGAACAGGGTGATTTTGTGCAGGCTAAAATGTAGGTTGGGAGACGCCAAGAAAGGATGGGTCGAGGAGATGCACAACGTCCTTTGGGCTTACAAGATCACCCCACACTCCACGACCGGAGAAACCCCATTCCGACTGACCTACAGGACAGAAGCGGTGATCCCTGTCGAGATAAGAGAATCCTCTAGGAGAACCGAATCCCCTTTGCCCGAGGAGACAAATGACGAGGCGCTCAGTGAAGAACTTGACCTGGTCGAGGAGATTAGGTCGGGAGCATCCCTGCGAGAAGCTTCCCTGAAATAAAGGATAACTTTACGCCATGGAAGCAAAGTCATCAGGCGCGAATTCCAAACAGGCAGCCTGGTCCTACGAAGCAACCAAAAGGACTCACGCGAAGGAAGTTGGCCGCAAACTAGGAAGGCCCATACCGCGTCCAGGACAAGACATGAGCGGGGTCTACTACCTCGAAAACCTACAACGGAACAAACTTGCTCGACCATGGAATGTAGAAAAACTTAAACAGTATTACAGTTAAACAGTGCCCGCGACCCGTCGGCGTCGCGACATAGGGGCACGACATGGTACCACCGCGACTCCTAACTTTAAAAACAAGAAGACAACAGTCATCCCTTTTGCGTGTGTGGGCACGACCCTTAATCTAGCAGGGATCCCTCGACCGAGCTCCGCTACTGTCGTACCAGTAGGACAGAACACCCAGCTCGCGATGGGAGGTTCATGCCCGGGGAAAGGCCTTTGCCAAGGACCTTAACCCCTAATTGTTCGAGTACCATCTCCGACCACCCGACTAGTTCCCCACACAGTCGGTCACACCAAAAGTCGAGCAAGTAAACAAACCAAATTCATGCATAAAAGAAAACAATAAACATACAAGCATACATAGTAGAAAATATCAAGATTCATTCAAGGAAAGCGGGCATAACCCATTGTACATACTTACATAAAAAAGGCACGTCAGCCCGAAAATACATCACAAAGTAAAAACAGTCGTGCAGGCCAGACAAATCAACATGAGCACGCAGGCCCAAAAATAATAAACCCTAAGAGGTCTCCTGCCCCTCTCGCTCTTCCTCCTCGGTAGCTGGGCTGTCTTCATCATCCTCGATTCCAGTCGCTACCACCCGTCCGTCGACAACCTGGTGATAGGGTCCCGTCCCCTTAGTGATAAGAGCAACCTCGGGGTTCACTATCTTGAGCTGCTCTACGGCGCTCTCATAGCCAACCTCGGCAGTCCCCAAACAATCCTGCTCGAGCTCCCGAATCCTTGCCATTAGTTCAGCCCGAGAAGTCAGGAGCTTCTCCTCATCGGTCTCCTCCTCAGCAGGACGAAGGTCAGCTTCCAGCTTCATGATCCGCACCTGCAGCTTCAACTTGTCCTCCCTAACGGCCTTCAACTTCCGCCTCGCTGTTCCACTTGTGCTGGGTGGTGTTATCCTCCCTAGCTAAGTCCATCTCGACAGCCAATTTGGTCATCTTCGACTCAGCAGCCGTGAGGTCCCCCAATAGTTTGGCAAGATCAGCAGAGGAGTAACTCTCGTCGCTCAGAGTCAAAACCGTCGAGAAGACCCTCATCATCACAGCCAAGTCCTTGGTCAGTCTTTGCCTCCTCGTCTCCCGGATGGCACCGAGAACCTCCTTCTCCTCCTCGACAGACACAGCAGGAGACCTAACCCCGTGGAAGAAACCAGGATGCAGATGGAAAGGGGGAATCAGGAACCCCTCCTTAGCACCATCCTTAGTAAGGTCGACAACAGTCTCTGGCCCATGGTTCCTCACCCTCTTCAGAGTCTCTTGCGATAAAGGATATTGGCTCCCCTGCGGTGACGCCGAAGAGCCTCCTCCTCCTTGCTCGGCAGTAGGCAGTTGCTGCACCTGGGCGACCCTCAATTTGCTACCCTTCGTCCCACCTCTGGTGGCCGCTAGTTGCTTCACGCGCTTCTACACGGTCAACATACTTCCTGCAAAACAAAAAAGCAAAGGATTAGCGAAGCACAAGAATAATAGAGCCCGGAACGGGCCGTGCAGAAGACGACCCCAGAACGAGCCGGACAGAGGATAACCCAGTACCTAACAGACGCAAGGCCTCCTTGCCAGACGCACATTCGAGCAAGGCCTTCGTATTGATGAGCCTCGACTGTTGGAGAATATTCCCGTTATTGTCGAGGATGAAGTTTTCGTCGGGCGTCACACATCTCGCCGTAGTGAAGCTGGCCACGAAGGCCACCAACCTTTGGTAGTCCACTTGGTCCTCCGCGTCAAAGGTACCTGCCCGTACGATATAGTGGTCTGTGCCCTGTTTGAATTGTTCCTCCGTTCAGTCCAATAGAACCCTCGGCACCACGACCTCTGCCTGTTGCCCGTTCACCTCCCAGGCTTCACGGCTGTATAATGAGGCGCAGACCTGATGAGACACATGCCTAACCACGAAGAATCAATCCTTAAACGTCCGGACAGAATCCATGTACGCCCTGAATAACCTCCTCATCTGCTTCAAGGACACCCAGCCCTGTCAGCCATCAATCGTTTGTCTTTGCAGATGAAAGAGCCGAAAGAACAAAGTGAGCGTGATCCCAATCTGAAGGTGCCGACAGACGAGCTCATATGCCCGGATAAAAACAATCGCGTTAGGGTGCAACTGCGAAGGCGTCAGCCTCAACCAGACGAAAACCTCCATTTAAAAATCTAAGAAGGGAAGTCAGAGTCCCACTTCGCGAAAGCAAAATTGATACATGGGAAATTGCATCTTCCCATAGCTCGAGCAGATCCGATGGTGGGCACGCGGTCTATACACTTGCCAACTCGTAAAGGAGCCCTCACGAAGATCCTCGACCGTGGCAAACGCATCAGAATCATCCTCGACAAAACGGGAAGCCGTACTTAAGGGCTCCTCCCCAACACAGTCTTTGACTGTCCGATTTTGTCCCTCAGCGGGCGGGGCCGCCGGAGACTCCGGTTCTTGGTCGACTTCTATAACTCCAGGTATCCATGCAGCCATGTTCACCTGAAAAGCAGAGGAAAATGGTGAATTCGACGTTTCATGATCAAATCCACCCTTCCACCACAGCTTAAGTGAAAGGGCGAAGGGGATGACATCTACGACCTAGGCTCCTCCAACCTCGACATCCACTTCCCCACGCTATTTACTATCGTATGTCCCCAGGGTACTCACCCAGCCCTATCATCTGTATCTCCGGGGTATTCATCTAGCACTAGCATATGTCCCTGGGGAATTCATCTAGACCTAACATATGTCCCTGAGGCATTCATCT